CATGAAGGAGGAGCTAAAACGAAAAGGGAGATGAGCACAGAACTGGGTGATATTTTGTTCCTTTAACCTCTCAGCTATAAGTACGGTGATGGCTAAAGCACTAGCTACAAATGATGTCATGTTTTCTCTCATGTCAGCTCCTTGGAAAAAGTCACAATTTCTCAGAGGAAATACTATGTTCCTCTTCACTTGTCCATATATGTCTTGAAGGTTCTGGTGTATGGTGTCAGCACACTTGTATTTGAATCTCATCAGTCTTCCTGATGGGAAGAATTTGCAAGTCAAAAGATTTTTTCATGGAACTATGCTGGAAACACAAAAAGGGATAAGGTTAAGGGTCCTGGAAGTACAGGAAAAATATTACTGAAGAAGCCATCAGAAGTAATGAGCCTCAACTTTTAGATTGACACCTGTATTTTGCAGATGGATTTCACCAGCTTCACTTAGTTTGAAACTTAATTACTTTTGAGAATATGGATCTATTTTTCTGTCAACATGAAGGTGCTACTGTTCAGAGTTGTCCTCTGGAGTTCTGGGAAAATTTACCTCCTTGAACACCCACGTCTTGCACACTGTTTAATGCTCAAAACTCAATGGGAGCAGTAAAGAAAACTTCCTGTCAGATTATGAGGAGAAACTAACTGTAAGGGATATCTTCTGAGCTTGACCATTTCACTTGCATATAAGAACTCAATAGCAATAACTTACGAAAATCAAAGTTATCCTTCCCACTCCAGCATCACCTTTTATTTTTTCAAGTCAGGTTATGGAGGTATAGCTAATTGTTGGCCATCTTCCAAAACCAGACTGGCAAGGTAATGATGCAGAGTGTGGATGAAAACGGATCATTTGTCTTCACAGTCATTAAAGGTCCACTGTTTTGGACGATGCAAATCAGGACAAGCTGAAACCTGCGCTATTTCTAGTTAATAAATACATACGAGACTTCTTGCTGTTTTAAAGCATCCCTGGTCAAAAGCCCTTTTAGCGTGCAATATTTCTAAACACAGCATTAATATTTAAAGAGTAACTTATTTTCTGCAGTCCATAACTGCAGATATAATTGGTTGTTAGTTTATGATGTGCATAGTGTTAATATTTACAACAAAACCTTGACATAATTTAAATGGTGACATCACTGAAACACCAGAAATGCATATGATTTTAAAGATAAGGTTACAAGAGGACGATTTTATTGCTATAATTCCATGGCCTTATAATTGCAGCAGTTTGTGCATACTCATAAATAAGGTGATAGATTTATATTTATTTATTTATTTTTAATCTCAGAATATTGAAGGGAAAATATAAAGCTTCATTTTCTCACATGCTACTATGCTACTTTCTGACTGGAGCTCGAGAATTCTCGTATGATGACCAACTAGAGGCATGGACGGCTGCTGGTATAGCACTGCGGTGGTAATCACAGCCTTTTGGAGGAATTCAATGGATATTCTGAAAGATCTCACTTTACTCAATTATCTGCTTATATTCAACAACACTGACTCAATCACTTTCAATCTCAAAAGCAGAAGACTAACAAATTATTTCCTATATATTTGGCATATCATCACCAGCCTTGATGCTACTGAAGTACTGAAAAGCACTAATAAGTTGATAGCGAATGACCCCATGGTAAGTTGTACAGCAATTGCTTGACTATGCTCTGCAAGTGTATGCTCTCATAGCAACACAGACAGCATATCGTTCTCTGCTGGCTTCATTAAAAAGAAAACGATCCTGTCTTTCAGTTAAAAAAAAAAAAAAAAGAAAGTAAGAAAAAAAAAAAGAAAAGCTGTAACTGTTGAAGCAGCATGCACCTAATAAGCTACTTCTAAATCTGGCTCCATCATTTCAGCCTGTGGACTAGCAGAACAGAGCTTGCAGAATCCTCCTCAAGTAAGTACTGTTTTCTCCCAGCAGCCTGTCTCTTGTTTTGCTGTTGTTTTTATTATTAATATTTAGAATGTATAACAGGTAGCAAAGGAATCTTCAGCATGAAATTAGTAGTGCTGCAATATGGCAATTGAATAACTGCTTTAAATATGAATTAACATGCTCTGCTGTTTCATTTGGCAGACATTACTGTCTTTAAAAGGCAATATTTAATACATTAAGGTACAAGACAGCAAATTATAAAATGTGGATGAAGCTTCTAGCTGCAGTGCTAGAAATCTGGGGAAATTATTTATAATAGACAGTCATGATAGGGCTTTTTAAATGAGTTATGCCTCTTTTATTTGCATAATCCACATCATCCACATCATGGAACACGTCTATTTGATCTCATCAGGACTGGAACGTGTATCCTGAATATGTTTCTGCCCATTAAGAATGAAATTAGCAAAATCATTCCTATCTTCAAGAAAGGAAAAGCTCATATACTAGAGTTTCTAGTAAAAGTAAAGCTAATATGTAGACATGAAATCTACTTCAGGTTTCTATTATATCCTGAAGGAAAATATTAGTGATGGATGACTTTGTTTAATTATACAGTGTTAATCTGTCACTGTTAAACTCAACAGAGCATAGATAAAATTATTCTTTGTATAAGAAACAACATACATGCATGTCATTTGCCAAAACAAAAAGCATATCCTGCATTATATTTTCTGCAAGAGTCTTTAAACAGCTCTGGTTAACATGTCTCTTCAATGTAATGAAATGGGGTGGGGCTACAGGAGTTGAAGGCTAAAAAACAAGAAACAGCAATCTCTTCTTCATGTATGAATTGCAACTGTTGCAGTAGAAAGGAGTTAGAAACAGGCAATCCACGAGTCTCCCCTTATAGCTAGTGTGCAAACACACACATGCTCACATGCACACAAGTGTTTTTCCCATTTACTTCTAGCTGCTTAGCACCAGTCCCCATGACATACAGCTCTGATTACAAACACGCAGGTGTGCAGCATTTGGCAAAAATAGCTGCGTGTGAGATATTACAGCTCTAGTACTAATATCTTAGAAGCTTGTAAGACAGATCCTATGCCTTCAAATAACATTGTTTGACATCATATTTATTGTAGGAGAAAATAAACTGCATAAAATCAAATTGCTTAATTAACTTCCACAGAAATCTACCTAAATACTTTCTTCCCATTCAAGTTATCCACCTCCCAACATCCCATGAAAACAGAATTCAAGAAATCATCATTCATTTCTCCTAGTCATTGTCAAATTATTCATAACAGCACATTTTAAAGCATACTGCCAAGCCAACTCATTTATATGCAGGAAAGCTTTTTTTAAACAAACTTTTCCAGGACATATTGGGGAATAGAACTGGAACAACCATTTCCTTATTAACTGTATAATAGAAATAGAAAGTCTTTGGCTTTTTTTTTTGGCTTGATTTTGCATGAAGAGAGATAAAGAATGAAAGCAGAAATAACAAAATTACTGCATTACAGTTACAGTGAACAATAATATATACCTCCTTGGCAAGCAATACTAAGCTTTCTTGGGCCAACTCTGAGCAGACTAATAAATTAAAATAGAGGGGTGGTCAAACCTAACACGCCACTGCCCTTTCCAAAGTTACTGTAAAATCTCAGAATGGCTATAATATAGACAGCAAATAGGAAAACACAGTACCTTCCTTGTAAGACAAAGAGCCATTGGTAGGGAGTAACTCTGCTAACAAGCTTTGATCCATGAATCCATGACTTAGTATCCTGCCAAAAGAGGAAGCCGTCATTGGCAGCAGTTTCTGAGACAGACTACGAGGGCAAATAGGGGGAAATGGACTGCAGTTGTAAGGCCTCTAGGAGGAAACAGTGTCTTCAGGATGAAGGAGAAGGCATTACCTAGATGAAAGGCTCATTTCTTCCTTATGCTTTGTGATTATTTAATTTACCAAAGGAATGATCGTAATGAAATCCCACAGATCTACTACAAGAAAACTGTTTTTATGAAAGTCGAAGCCTTCAGGGATTTGAGCCAGTACAAAAAGCTGCAAGTTTTTTCAATGTGCTCTTGAACAATTCAGTCTATCACAGAATGTACTAAATCAAACAAGCTCAAGGGGCAGGAAAATAAAAAATAAACTATATAGCAACATCTTACTCCCTTTTCATTTATAAATTTGACAAGTTTCATTCCAGTCTCAAACTTTCCTCTATGTTTAATCTTAACCTAGTAGAATTCTATATTTCTGCAGATGTAATAGAGATGATGAGGGAAATGATGGTGTGGAAGATGTCTAAAATAATTCCAGGAATGATCACTAGGGTGGATTTTGAGCCCCCTGAATTCGTCCCAGTGACATCATGACCTTGCAGAGTGTGGATCAAGTGTTAATTCTCTTTACATAAGGCTAGGAACAGATTTAAAGGAAAACAAATTGTTATAGAAAGTATTATTATTTTGAAAATAAAGTGAAAATCAGTGGATGAGGAATTCTCCCATTCTATCTATCCGCCAAAAAAAAAAAAAAAAAAAAAAAAAGGAAAAATATTTTTATGTCAAGGCTGATTTTGCATGAGAAAAAATATTCCATTCTTCCACTCAGTCTTCTCTATTATCTTAAATTTAATTATGTCATTCCCTTCTCTTTGCCAAATAATAATAATAATTTAAAAATACAACAAAGAAGCAAACAACAACAACAACAAAAAAGCAATATAGGGTCTGAGAAAAAATAAGAGAAAAGTTAGAACCGAAAAAAAAGAAAACAAAAAGAAATGCCTAGTTTGAAAGCAACATGATAGATGGACAAGTTCAAGAATAGAATAAAAGAATTTGGCACTTTCCTAAAAAAAAAAAAAAAAAAAGATATGCAAGGAACAGTGGAAGAAACTAAGACTCCTCATCTGTATATTCACAAAAGGATCAATTATTTTGCTAGCTGTTTTCACCAAATGACTACAAAGTGAACAGGAGCCAGACTCAAATGCTAGTGCAATGCAGATGACATAGAGCTCTACCCATCCTACAGCACGGCTACAAAGAAGGCACAACGTGTGAAGAGCTCATGGAGCAGCTGGCTAAAGCAGAAGCTGAGCAAGACAAAGGGGATGTTGGCAGAGGACAGAAAGCATTTTGAGGACTCATTCACAGTCCAGGTATGGAGCCTAAGTATTAATATGATAAACAAACTGTTATTCACAGATGTTATTGTTTTCAATTAACTCCATCTTTCTTAGCTGGAGAAAACAATCTATCATGCAGGTGATGCCATTGGCTTTTAGTGCATAGAAGTGCCAAGAAGGAAAAATGGTATCGCGTATATGGTCTGAAGCTCAGCCTAGCTAGACCACAAATCTATACTATAGATCAGCCTCCATATCATTTTCAAAGCATTTCGTTATCTGAATTGTGAATAAATAAAAGATCAGTTAAAACATTTGAAAAAAGATCACAGTCTGCAGCTTCACTTCACTGGCTTTACTCAGCAGGAGCAGAATTTGTCTTCATGGGAGATTGAAAGGGAAAAAGTCTCTTGGGAATTAAGGGCAACCAAATGTCTTATCATCTAATGCTGCGAATCTCTGGTACATTTCTTTGAGCAGCTTAAAAATATACATAACACGTCCACTGTGAACTTTTCTAATGTTAGGGATCAAATGACACAACAGCTAACAGCTTACAAGTGATATTAATGAAACAGAAATGAAAGATGCTCCGATAGTATGACATTGAACACAGCAATAAGAGTCTGTGTGGAATGGAAACTCTTTTTCCTTCTGTGGTACTGCCACAAAAATAACTGAAAAATTAGTTTGTTGAAACATCTTGTGCTTGCATTTTCCCCTCCTTTAATTTTAATTCATTTTTAAGCTGTAAATAGAGATTGCATGTGAAGAAATGTGGCTGGCTCTGGTCTTACTGCAGCTGGAGTATTTGTCAGAGAACAGTGACTATTTTCAGGGTGGTGCAGGAGCTATGCTAAAAGCTTCTCTCTTTCCTCTAACATTCAACCTTAGCCCAACATCTATCTTAGCCTAGCAAAGAGTTAGATTAATGGAAATTTAGAGGAAATCAGATGCTTTAGATCTTTAGATTTAGAGATTGAAAGCAGAGACTACCCACAATGCACATTCTGGCATAGAAGCACAAATATCTCAAATATCTGTAGGCCACTACAGTGTCTTCTCAAACTCTTTTCATGCCACCAAAAGCTACCACATTTTAAGGAATTGAGACTTATTTCATGCCGGGGAAGGAAAATACTACAAAATGCTCTCCAAAAAGCAATCCAAAAAGCAACCCAGTGAGAGAGGAACACCTGTAATATTTAAGGCAATACATTTAATTGTAAAGCAGAAAGGTTAAATAAAATAATCTAAAATGAACTGCACAGAACTGCATTAAGTGCAGAGTAGTGGATAAGATTTGATAAAATTTTCATTAAAGGCAGGAGGGAAGAGTGTATCTGAACATGAATGGACATTGGAAGGGCTGGGATATAGCTATTTTAGAAGTAGACTATCTAAAGAACATATGCATCCTTAGGGCAATATTTTGGAGCACTTAAAGACTGGCTGAGAACTCACAGCAACATGATTTACAATAAACGCCTTCCATTGTAAAGGCGTTTAAAGTTGTAAATTTCTTGCACCAAGAAATGCACAGAAAAAAGGTATAATTATAGATCCAAATTCCTGGAGCCTACCCACTGAGGACAAAACTTCCTGGAAACAGCCTTGAATTAAAATAAACCCCAATATTCTGTTTAAAATCATATTTTTACTCTATTCTTAATTAATAACCTACCATTTTCCTATTAATCTTAAAATGTTGAAAGCCTGTCAGCTTATTTTTTAATGCAAGTTATTTGCCGAATATCTAATCATTAGTGTATCAAAATGCACAATCTTAGGTATACATAAACTTTGCACACTTCTTTAGTACTAGAACTGTTGAATGCCTGCTTTGATCCAAAAATGAGCATATCTTCCAGAGCTCTACACAAAGACACTTCCTGTTGTCATAACAACCTCCTGCAGCTTTTTTGCTCTATGGAAGTCTTGTATTTGCTTTTGAGACTATTAGCAAAAATTAAAACTCCAAAATTTTTAAAGCAGTGATAGCATTAGAAAGCATAGGGGAACAAAGATAAATATAGGTATGTGTACACATACGAATTCCCACAAAGCTCAGATTTCAATTTGCAATCTTCAGACAGTGGTCTGTGAAGATATTACTTTGGATCAATTTTTGTCTGGAGATATTTTTTAATTCTCTTTTTTATCCAAAATAGGCAGGTTTCTAATAATATCTGTGTATTATCACACTAAGAATGTAAATAAATCTAACTTAATCTTTAGAAAAAGCTTTGTATATTTTGATATATAACAAATTTACTAGACAGGTCCATGAGCGCATCAGTCTTTTCAAGTGAAACACTGAATCATTATGAAAGTTCAATTAAAGCTGTGATGTTTAAGGTTCAGCTGTCAATTAAGCAGGAAAGGTTAAATATTACTATGTTTATATTATTCTTAAGCTAAAACAGGATAGAACATCTCAATCATTGCACTACAGAAAACGACAAACTTGGAATTTTGAATCCTTGGAACTAGATAATGAATTTTCATTGTTTGAATATTGTTACTATTTAGCGATACCAATTTGATCATATCCTCATTATGCAAAAGTGTGTACCAATGCATGGAAATGTACAATCATTTCCTAATTTTTTAGGATAGGCAATGGTAGTTACAAAAGAAAGCATAAATGTTTGTCGAAGAATACCTAAGATGTTAATGGCAGAGCTGCTAACAAAGAACATGACATTTACAGTCAAGTCTGTCGTTTAGAACAGACTTGCACAGATGTACTGAATAATTACAATTATTCTCATCTTTTTAAAAATAATGCAACATCAATGCAGAAGTTTTTCTCTGAGATCATTTTAGTGCTAATAGGACAGTTTTAGAAGAATTCAGAAATGAAGCAAACCTTCACCCAACAGAGGCATGTTGTAGCAAGAAATAACAGAATCATTTGATTGTTAATACAGCTTCCCAGAGGTATTTGTTTCAAGGGAATAGCCCAAGCTACTGCAGCAATGCATTGCTATTCACAGACATACCTACTGGCACTGAAAAGAGGAACTCTCTTTATCAGCAAAGTCTTCAAAGAGATTTGGATATATAAAGCAAATTTATTGCAGTGCTTTAAAAACTCACTCATTATATGGAAACCAAATCACCAACATCAAATCATTACAAGAGAGTTCAAAGTCTCAAACATTCAAATTCTTAAGCATACACTGATTTAATATTCAAATACTTGATCAGCACAGTGACTAGTGGAAATGATTCCTGTAATTACCGAGCTCTGTAGATAACATTTTGGTGAATTTTCTTAAGACAGGCCCCTGTAAAGGCAATGTTACTCCCAGCTTTGTTAACATCTATTCCAGCTAGGATTTTGAGCAGTTAACAACAAAAGTTCTATATCATTTATTTGCATTCCAGCCTAACCTCATTCAGGTAAGAATTCTTCTGTCACTTTGCAAGGGTGGCTTTAATTGTTTGGTTAATATTATGTCACATTTTACAAACTATTTAAGAATGTGTGTATAAAGTCATTAGGCAGAAACAGCCAAAAAAGAGAAGAGGCAGCATTAAAACCCCTCAACCCAATATTTTTCCTAATTTTCTTTTAAAATATTTTATTGCTGATGACACTTTAAAACAAATAGTCTCCTTCTTGGCAATATGAAATAATTCTATGAGCCATTTCTGTTATCTGTTCCACAGACTTCTGTCACATTAGCACCTTAAAATTTGCACATACGCAGTCGATGAATTTGTGTTTAGAGTTAACACCGCTTTGTTCATGCACAAATTATCACAGTTCTTCATGAATAAAAAGCTCTTCAAATATGCATAAACCATTCCAGATGCTGGATCAAGAATGAGGCTTACTCTGTTTCTGAAACAGATATTTTAATAAAGTCACAGAATCGTAGAATCACAGAATCTGCAGCACTGCCACTTTCCCAGGCTCTAACAGATCTTGGAAAGGAGTTCTAAGATGCACTAGCATAGACCTTACCTCCCTGGGGAATCCAATTTTGTGCAGTGAGTAACCATATGTTTGCAGACATCTGTGTGAGGACACACAGAAAAAGAAAGCCCTAAATTCTGGCTTTACAAGGAGAGAAAAGTGTTGTATTCTGTGACTGCATTGAAAAGGTCATGAAGATCTTAGTGTTGACAACAGAAAGCATTCGCTGCCTCTACATGCTGTCACCATTCACCTTCAAGTGAAGGTGAAATAACCCTGTGTGAATAGGGCTTGGGCATTTTAATCCACATTGTTTCTTTGATGAGGATATTTGTAACATACAATGGAACAGCACAGTACCATAGAAAATATAGAAGCATTTCAGAAAATAATTCTAGTAAAAGCAATTGATTTCCGATGTGTTAAAAGGACCTTTCTGTCCTCCCAATATTTGCAAAATTAATGCACTTACTGTGTTAATTTGAAAGATTTGCAAGACTTCAGCAGCTTTTATGAGCAATGATTTAAATGAGTCCTGGAATTGTCAATGTAGAGTCAATAAATTATATGTGATGGCCCAAGTGACTAGTAATGAGAGACCTGAATACAATGTCTGCTTGGAAATCTACTGGAATTACATTTTAAACTGAACTGGTGCTAACATACGAGCTATATATATTGTATTTTAAAATATGCTTTTCATTTACTGCTTTTTCCTTCCTTGCTGTCTTCTCATCCACCTCAATCCTTTCCAGAGATCTTTTTCACATCTTCCTGCCCCCAGGACTTAAAGGAGATCATTGCTTATAATCCACTTAACTTTTCTTTCTCCACATGACATATTTGGAAATGTCTGATTCCCACCATACAAAAATGATTAAATCATAGAATGATTTGTGTTGGAAGGGACCTACCTTAAAGATCATCTAGTTCCAACAACTCTATCATGGACAGGAACACTTTCTAATAGACCAGGATGCTAAAATCTCCACCCAAACTGGCCTTAAACACTTTCCAGAATAGGGTATCCATAACATTTCTGGGCAACCAGCTCAGTGCCTCACCACTCCCATAACAAATAATTTCTTCCTATTGTCTAATTTAC